ACCTTATCATGGCTGGTGGATCTAAATGGCAGGGTCTTAGATTTATGCTGTGCAGCATCTTACCACTAGGAAGTTCAGCTGAGGATGAAGAAACAGAAAATACTTCTGCTAAGTACTCCACGGGCATGGATTTTCTGTCAGCCCTCTTATTGATTGGCAGGGCTATGGTTGGTGTCTGCCAAACCTCATCCACTGTTCCATAATTGCTTCATCTATGGGGAGAGCAATTGTGGATTTTCTGGCAGGTTGGAGGTAGTTTAAAATCTTATGTTGTTTTTCTTGAACCTCTAATAATATCACCTCTTGGCTGGTAGCAACCCTTTTGAATAAGTCCTGGAATTGTCTCTTATTGATTGGCAGGGCTATGGTTGGTGTCTGCCAAACCTCATCCACTGTTCCATAATTGCTTCATCTATGGGGAGAGCAATTGTGGATTTTCTGGCAGGTTGGAGGTAGTTTAAAATCTTATGTTGTTTTTCTTGAACCTCTAATAATATCACCTCTTGGCTGGTAGCAACCCTTTTGAATAAGTCCTGGAATTGTTTTCCCACTGGTGAAATGTCAGGTTGATCAGCAATAATTTGCACTTCTTCTATGTATGGGTCCTCCACTGGCAAGGGAGAGGTATGAGCATGGGAGGGAGGTATTGACCTTTGGGCAGGGATTGACAGTGCAGTCAACTGGTGCCATGGGGGCGTGCAGTGTCAGCATGGGGACCAGCGAGGTGGGTAATGAGGGTGGTAAAACCATTCTGGATACCACAGAGGATGGTGAGAATATCATGGTCGGCATCTTTCATATGGTGTGTAAGGCTGTATTGGAAAGGAGTGGTGGGAAGAGAATACACTCCTGCAATGCTCATCATAATCACTGTAATGATAATGTAAAGGTGATCGTGGTAAATGAGGAGGGCCATGGGGTGAAAAGGGAGATCGAGACTGATGTCTCCAAGAGTGATCGTATGGAGATCTAGGTCTTGGTTCCAGATCCTGTGCATTGTGGCTTTGAGAGTGAGTAGAAGGATGATGATGGCTCGAGAGAGGCTCTCGCGGTGCAGGTGAACACAGTGCTGGTGGCGGCCGCCCATTACAAAAAGGTTGTGGACACATTGGAGAAAGTCCAGCGGAGGGCAACCAAAATGATTTGGGGGCTGGAGCACTGGTGCTGGAGAGGATGGCGTTGACTCCAGGCTTGGGGTGCGAGGCAAGGGCTTGGTGAATTTAAACCTGGCCTTTGTCAGCACCAAGGTGTTAGTCGGCACCAGTGGTGCTGGCAATGCCAAAGTCTCATCCGGTTCCATGCCCGTTGCATTTTTCGGTGCCAAGGTCTGATCGGACTGTGATTTTGATTCTGTTACTGGCACAGAGCAGGGATGTCTGCTGCCGGAGATGCCCAGTTTGTCTCCCACACTAACACTTAGTGGTAGGGAGCAAGCAGGAGAAACACTTTTCTTAGCTGAGGGCTTAGGTGATGGGACACTCAGGGTGATGGGTCTCTTTTGAGTAGTGCTGGTGTCTGCTGTTTGGTGCCCTTGTTTTATTGGGGCTCAAGTGCTTTGTCAAATAATAGCTTGCGTAGATTCAGCTCTCTATCTTTTTGGGCCCTGGCTGTGAGGCTACAGCAATGCACACTCTTCTGGGGGACATGTCTCTCCCAGGCAGCGAATACAAGACCCACGGCCATCAGAGGCAGGCATATGGTCACGGCATTTTTTATATTTTTTTAATCTGAGGGAGCCCAACATTCTGTTGAGTTCTCTTCTTCCCTTTGCCTTCTCTTTTTTTTCCCCACAGGGCGGCGATGCTGATGGCACATGGCACCTCAGGACTTGCGTCTTAACTATTTACAACGATAAACTCGAAATCTAACTCTATATTGAACTATATTTTTTAAGAAAAACTAACTACTACTAACTATGAAAACGAAAACAACTTTCGAACTAATTTTAACTTTTATTCATGTCTACAGATGATTGAAAAAGAGGAGAGAGATTGAGTAGCTGAGGGCAGCAATGAAAGAACTAAGGGGAGTTGGGCCATGCACGTAATCTCCAAAGGTGCGAACAGTATGTACCCTCCCTTCCCGCATGCATGGTCCGACTGGATACTGCTAGAAAAAGACTTTGCTCTGCGACACCAAAACGAACCTGACCCCAACAATGGAGCACCCACAGGGACATCACTCAAAGAAGAACCAGAAGAACCTCCTGTGAGCTGAGTATATTGTCATATGAAAATATATGTCTCGGAGATTGACGGATGAGAACCAGTCCCCCTCGTCCAGGGCTGGAATGATGGTTCCCAAAGTTACCATCCTGAACATCTTGTTGTGTACGAACTTGTTGAACTTCCTGAGATCTAAGATCAGCCTCCGTCCTCCTGTCTTTTTGGAAGTGAGGAAATAATTGAAATAGAATCTTCTTCGTGGAACTCTGGTGGAACTTGCTCTATGGCCCCTAGGCTGAGTAGTTTTTGAACTTCTGCTTGTAGAAGGGGCTTGCGAGAGGGGTCCCTGAAGAGGTACAAGGAAGGAGGGTGGGTAGGAGGTACAGATGTAAATGGGAATAATATAGCCATTTCTTATAATCTCGAGGACCTATTGGTCCATAGTGATGAGAGTCCATTGGTGGTAAAAGGGTCTTGACCGATGGTGGAATGTGTGGATGGTATGCACCAGATCTAGACAGTAGTTGCTCATGCCCTCGACCACACCTTCAAATTTGCTGCTTGGGTACAGCAGATTGGGGAGCAGACACTTGGGTATGTTGTGCCCTTCTTCTATTGGTCTGTTGTTTCGACCTGTTGTCAAAGGGCCTCTGATGTTGCCTCTTGTAGGAGGTGGTATGGGATGTATTTCCTCCTTATTAGGTGGCGTATACATTCTGAGTGTCAGGAGGGTTGTGCACGAATCTTTGAATGGAGTACTTCATCGGTCTTCATTGTCAAAAGCTGAGCCATGTCAAAGGGCAAGTCCTCCACTTTGGTTTGCTGTTCCCTGGGAACACTGGATGACTGCAGCCAAGAATCAGAGGGGTAGCCGTGTTAGTCTGAATCTGCAAAAGCGACGAGGAGTCCTGTGGCACCTTATAGACTAACTGAAGTGTAGGAGCATAAGCTTTCATGGGCAAAGACCCACTTCGTCAGATGTGTAGTAGCCGTTTCTGACACACACGCGAGCCGCTCTGATTTGGCTTCTAACACTTTCAGCTGCTCAGTTCAGGAAGCCGTGTCTGATAGATGAAGGTTCTCCGCGACACATTTAGCAGCCTGGACTCCCTGCCTCTGGTCCAGAGGGTCTCACCCCACTCCCAGCCCCATGCCCCTTGTTCTCCGTGATTCCGCCAGCTGCTTGGTGCCTTTAGTACCCGGCCTCTGCTGTGAGATCTCTGTAGAGAGACGGGGCACAGGGGCACCTGCAGAGACCCTAGGAGACGTCCGTTTGATCTTTGAGGCCAGCTGGAATGAGGGATGTAAAATCCTGTTTAACTGGTTAGCTAATTAACGGGGACAGGTGGACAGGCTGGCGGCTCTCTGCCTGCAGTGCAAGGGGCCCTGTGAGAGTGAAGCAGATGCCAGCCTATGGGGCGCAGGGTGCTGCTCCAGGCCCTCCCCCCTCCAGTTAACTGGACCCACTGGATGATGCTCGTCAGTGAACAGGTTGACCAAACTTGTCACACGCTGCTGAGGCACTTTTCTGTCCTCTCTCAACACTTCAGCAAATGTCCATTTCCCTTCCCTCCTTAGCTATTTGTTTTCATTCCTCTGGGAGGGGCTCAGGGGCCTGCTCCTTTTCCTTCTCTCTGCTGCAGGTTTGCCAAGATCTCATCTACCCCAGGTCACTGGGAACTGTGACTCAGCCAACATGGGCACAGCACCAGACGGGAATCCAGACCAGAGAGCCACAAGGTCACCCTGTGGACACTTTGGGTGCGTCTACACTGCACTCGGAGCTGGAAATAAGCTACGAAATTTGAGCTCATTTCGAGTCAATTTTGAAAAAGCTTATTTTGAATTTGGGAACGCGGCTACGGCCAAGCGGGCTGAAGCACAGCCTGGGACCGGAAGGGGGAAAGTGCTGGATCCAGGGGAAGGGGAGGGGTGAGCACTTGCGGGGGGCAGGCGATGACTTGATTACAGAGGAGGAAACTGAGGCACGGGTGCTGGCCAGGGAACGCAGAGCTGGTGGGGGCGGGGCTGATCACCTTCGGTTCACGGAGCAGTCGACGGACCTCGTGAATTCTCACTGGCTACTCAATGATTCAGCAGTCCCGGGGCGGGGCTGGTGTGATGTTACAAACAGCTGCTGTCACAACTGGCTCCCTGTAGCGGTTTCTGACACGTGTGGGGGTCAGATCTGGCTTCTATCGGTTTTAGCTGTTGATGCAAGCAGAGACTGGAAGCCGATTCTGATAGATGGAGGTTCACCTTGTCACATTTGGATGCCTGGACACCCTGCCTCTCATCCAGAGAGGGCTTTCCTATCTCCTAGTCCAGGAGTATCCGTACAATGGAAGTCACATTTCTAAAGGAACAAAGCTCCCATTCAAATGAGGTAGAAGGATGGGAAATGCAATTCAGGGACACACTGCAAGAGATAACACAAATACTTGAACTGTTATGAGATATCAGGTAGTAACTGATTGAGACTTTTAAATCTTCACAATGCGCTACACTCTCCTCACAGCTGCATGTGAGGCGCTTGCTGCATTTTTCCTCATGTGCTAGAGCAGGGGTCTCCAACCTTTTTACACCCAAGATTGCCCCCTCGCAGCATGCGCAGCATGCCACAGAGCTGTGGGAGGGGAGCAGCCAACGCACTTCCGGAGCCGGCGCGAAGCTGCAGGCAGGACATCTGTCCACCCCGCGGGAAGCTGGTACTACTCTGGAGGTAGGTAGTGGGGCTTCTCGGGGTTGGGGGGAAAATAGGGGGTGGGGGAACTGAATGCCTCGCAATCGACTGGTCGAGGCCTTGCTGCAGGGAACGCAGAGCTGGTGGGGGCGGGGCTGATCACCTATGAACCAACTACGAACCATGCTGTGAGGCGAAAGTGTACTGAGGGTGTACTAAAGTGTACGAGGGTCCTGAGTGAGCAGGTCACACCGCCTGGGCAGAGGATAGAGTGGACAAGGAGACATTCAAAAGAGATAAGAGAATGAGGTCTGAAGGGGCCAGAAGGGGGCTATCAGGATTACTGTTGCAGCATCCCTTGTGACCTTTTTGAGAATTCTTGGAATTAAGGGAGTTGGAGGAAAGGCGTAAAGTATCTATCCACTCCAGTCAAGGAGAAAGGCATCTCCCAGGGATCATGATCCCGTTCCCGCTCTGGAACAGTAATGTGGACATTTTGCATTGCAATGTGACACAAACACATCTATGCTCGTGTTGGAGTACTTGATAATGTAATTCTCACTTGTGTTCCTTGATGAAGTACCTGCTGAGTGCATCCGCTGTGGTGTTGTCAGCGCCCGGTAAGTAGGACCCTAGGATTGTTACTTCGTGGCGAATGCATTAGTTCCACAAGCATATCGCTTCGGTGCACATAGAACAAGATTGAGCACCTCCCTGTTGGTTTATGTAAACCAGTGGTAATATTGTCTGTTAGGACCCTGATGGTATTGCCTCGGATGAGTGTGCAGAAATGTTTGCATGCGTTGAAGATTGCTCTCAGCTCTAGGAAGTTGATGTGGAGGGAAGTTTCTTTTGTGGACTATTGCCCCTGAACATGGTATCCTTTCAAAGGTGCTCCCCATCCTATAAGAGATGTGTAGTTGTGATCTGCATTGTATGCTGAGGTTGGTGGAATGGCACCCCAGCTAGTAGGTTCCCCGGTGTGGTCCATCAGTTTAAAGACTTGACAAGTTTTGGTAGTAGAGACAAGTGTCTGTGAACGTCTTGTCTGACAGGAGTATAAACGGAGGCCAGCCAGTGCTGGAGGCACCATAGGTAACCCTGCGTGAGCTACTACATATGTGGGAGCCTCCACATGCCCCATGAGTTGGAGGCAGGTAAGTATCCGAACAGTGGGGCTTGTAGCAAGAATCTGTATGAGGTCCTGAATCATTTGGAATCTCTGTAATGCAGCGGTGGGCAAATGGACCTCCATGGGCTGGATCTGGATCCAATTACGACTTGGGGGTGGGGGAAACGCAAAGCCTCCTGTCGTCCTGCCAGGATCATGTGGCCGCTTCCCCCCATCCCCAGACTCTAACTGGCCTAGGGCAGTGTCTTTTAAACTGGTGTGCCGTGAAGCAGTGCCATGGAGAACAACAAAGTTCAAAATGGCCCTTAAAGGCTATTCCCCAGACTCTTTTTTTTTTTCCTTTGCTCAACAAAAAATCCTTGGTGTTCCTCATAAAAAAAATTATTGTTTGGTGTTCCTCGGTCTTAAAAAGTTTAAGAAACACTGGGCTAGGGGCAGGGGAGCGTGGGAAGATACCTAGGAGATACATGGGGGAGCAAAGGCACTCCCTCACCCCCAGACCAATCATTGTCTGGGGGTGGGGAACCCAGAAGTATCTTGGCCCCACCCTGTCCCCTTGATGCCCCACCCCTTCCTGGGCAGCCTGGGACCACTTCAAAAATTTCCGAAGTAGCCCCCGGCAAAAAATTATTACCCACCACTGCTGTAACAGCAGGTAGGCCTGAGCTGTAGCTGAGTCCGGATGGGCGCCAATAAATTCTAGGGATTGTTCTGGCATCATGGAGGATTTCTGGAAGTTGATGATGAGACCCAGAGATTCAAAGACTGCTCTCGTCGTGGAGTATATCTGCAAAGGATGGACCTTTGATCAGGCAGTCATTGAGATGGGGAATATAACGATCCCAACTCGACATAGGTTTGCTGTGGTACTGAAAATGATTGGTTCTGATGGTACATCTCAGGAAATGCCTGTGCGCCAGATGGATTGTGACATTAAAATGGGCATTTTGTGGGTTAAGGGCTGCGAACCAGTCCCCGTAGTCGGTATGATAGATGCCAGAGCCATCATCTTGAATCTCTGTTTTCAAAGATGTCGGTTGAGTCCACTGAGGTCTAGGATAGGCCTCCAACCTCCCAATCACTTCTGGGTAAGGAAATAATGGGAATAAAAGCCTTTGCCCCTGAATTCTTCCAGTACACTCTCCACCGCTCTGATGGTGAGGAGACAAAGAACTTCTTGTTTGAAGAGGGTCTTGTGAGAGGGGTCCCTGAAGAGGGACAGGGAGGATGGAGGGAAGGGATGTGAAGGGAATTGAATAGCCAGATGTTACTAGCTCTAGAACCCAGCGATTGTTAGTGACGGTGGCCCACTGTTGTTGGTATGGTTTGAGCTGATGGTGAAAGATTTGAGCATCATTTTGGCAGTGACCAATAAGTGGGGTAGCTTGCAGGCCCTCAACCATCACGTCAAACCTGCTGCTGGTTGCTCTGTTGGTTAGACGCTTGGGTGTTTTGAGGGTGCAGTTTTTGGGGGCGCTGGCTGGCATGATGCTACTCGAATCCCCTATGCTGAGGTGCCGAGTATGGGAAGGCAGAATGTCTTTAGTATGGGGAATAGCACCTACACTGATAGGGGGGCGGATATATGCCTAATGTTCTCAACATCATCCTTGAGTCCTTGCTCGTTTGGAGGACTTTGTCAGTTTTCTCAGAAAACAGTTTTTGTCTGTCAAAGGGGAGGTCTTCCAATTTGGCCTGCTGCTCTTTAGGAACCCCCTCTGACTGAAGCCATGAAGCTCTACGCATGACCACTGACATAGCTGTAGAGTGTGCCACTATATCTGCGATATCCAATGCAATCTGGAGGGCTGTACAGGATGATGCGTAGCCCTCCTGGACAATGGATTTTAGTATCTGTCACTTGTTTCTGGCAAGTGCTCCATAAGTGAGGTTAGTTTGACATAATTGTCAAAGTCATGGCTGAACAAGAGAGCTGCATAATTGGCCATTCAGAGTTATGGAGGAATAGATCTTTCTATCAAAAAGGTCGAGCCTCTCGCTCTGTTTGTCCATTGTCGTATTTCTATACTGTGGTGCCTTAGCCCTTTGTTGTGCTGCGTTGATTACCAATGAGTTAGGTTGGGAATGTGAGAAGAGGAAATCCATACCCTTGGCAGGGACAAAGTATTTCTTGTCCACTCCTTTGTCCCATTTGGTGGTAGCAGGGGTGGAGGCCGGGGTCTGCCAAATGTCATTGGCCACCTCAAGAATAGCTTCATCAATAGCCAGTGGCCAATATAGGGCAGGGCGAGTGGGGCGGCTGCCCCAGGCCCAGCGCTTCAATAGGCCCCGCGCACGTGCTACTACCTGTTGGCTGTGGCCATGGCGCATGCGCGAATTGTGCTGCACTGGGCCCCGCAAAACTCTCATCCATCCCTGTCGATAGCCAATGCTACCTTGGACTTCTGGAAGGGCTGAAGATTTTTTAGGAGTCAGTGTTGTTTCTCCTGTTCCTCCATCAGTTGAATCTCTTGACTGGCTGTTATGCTCTTGAAGAGGTCCTAAAACAGCCTAAGATCATCAGTTGGTGATGCATACCCCGGAATTACTGCCTCATCAGATGAAGAGGAAGATGGTCCGCAGGAGAAATGCCCTGTGGCTGTTCATGATCGGACAGTTGACCTTCCTCAGGGTCAGACTGTTGCAGCAGAAGGGATGTAGTTTGTGTAAGGGTGGGAGGTTGCGTGTTGTCTGGAGGAGGAGAGGGCGTGTGGCATCATCTGGAGGTGGACCGGTGGCAGCAAGGTGACCAATGTTGAGGGTGATGTGGTGACCTATAGTAGCACACCGGCTGAGGGTGTTTGTAATAAGTGCAGTAGCTACAGTGGTGGTCACTGTACTTATCCAATAAGTTCTTGGACTGCATTGGAAACAAATTTTTATTTCAGAAGGTTGAAAAAGCTACCAGAGGGAAAGCTGTTCTAGATTTTATCCTAACAAATAGGGAGGAACTGGTTGAGAATTTGAAAGTGGAAAGCAGCTTGGGTGAAAACTGCTGTAACAGCAGGTAGGCCTGAGCTGTAGCTGAGTCCGGATGGGCGCCAATAAATTCTAGGGATTGTTCTGGCATCATGGAGGATTTCTGGAAGTTGATGATGAGACCCAGAGATTCAAAGACTGCTCTCGTCGTGGAGTATATCTGCAAAGGATGGACCTTTGATCAGGCAGTCATTGAGATGGGGAATATAACGATCCCAACTCGACATAGGTTTGCTGTGGTACTGAAAATGATTGGTTCTGATGGTACATCTCAGGAAATGCCTGTGCGCCAGATGGATTGTGACATTAAAATGGGCATTTTGTGGGTTAAGGGCTGCGAACCAGTCCCCGTAGTCGGTATGATAGATGCCAGAGCCATCATCTTGAATCTCTGTTTTCAAAGATGTCGGTTGAGTCCACTGAGGTCTAGGATAGGCCTCCAACCTCCCAATCACTTCTGGGTAAGGAAATAATGGGAATAAAAGCCTTTGCCCCTGAATTCTTCCAGTACACTCTCCACCGCTCTGATGGTGAGGAGACAAAGAACTTCTTGTTTGAAGAGGGTCTTGTGAGAGGGGTCCCTGAAGAGGGACAGGGAGGATGGAGGGAAGGGATGTGAAGGGAATTGAATAGCCAGATGTTACTAGCTCTAGAACCCAGCGATTGTTAGTGACGGTGGCCCACTGTTGTTGGTATGGTTTGAGCTGATGGTGAAAGATTTGAGCATCATTTTGGCAGTGACCAATAAGTGGGGTAGCTTGCAGGCCCTCAACCATCACGTCAAACCTGCTG